TTTTCACCCTTGAAAATAGATTTAAACCGGCAGTTACCGTGGTCAAATACAGTAGCATTCTTTTATCTAGGAATCCAAAACATCAAATTATCCATTATAAATTCATTTACAGCTTCTACTTCTACCCAAGATGATTATTTGAAATGGAAATACTTCAATGCCCTAATTGCTCATTTTGTTCTAATGGCGATCTAATGTTATGAGTGTCCAAAGGTGATGAAATTCTGGGATAAGGGTGGTTGTAGGAGGAATTGGGGGACAATGTGTTTTCACAGTCTCACATTGTGCATATTTAAATTACTGTCTGATCAAAACAACGTCACAACACATTACAATCCTGTTTATGCTGTCACGCAAGTCTAAAAGAGTCTGATGGACTGATTTCTTACACATTCTTCACAAAATAACTGCAGTTAATAAATAACTGCACACTATGACTGATTTCAGGAAATAAGAACTTTCCCTGTGATGCATCTGCACATGAAGGCAGGCTAAAGCAAACTTGTCTCCAGTCCACTCAAAAATCTCCCTGACTGGTTCCCAGGCTTCCAGGCGACCGAGCAGAATGATGGGATGGAAGGGAGGAAGGGGTGGAGAGAAGAAAAAAAAACTGGGAAGAGAATAAAGATGTCAACCAAAGGAGATTTGCCGATCTGCAGCAGTGGCCATCATCACAGGCAAGAACAACATCAAACAGCTTGGCTTCAATTTCAGCATTCCGGTCACGGAAAGGAGGCAAGCTGGCCAAAGGGCCAAAATAAAAACCACTGTGACGCACAGGGAAATGTTTTTACATTATTTCCTGAAGCCACTTAATCCCTGCAAACACCCTCATAACCTCACCTGAACTTTTCATTAGACTCAATGACCGTGGCTTCACGATAAGACAGACTGGGTTAAGAGCAAAATCTTGTTGAAACAGAAGAATAAATTCAACCCTTCTTTTATTTAATTTTTCACACCATTCCTATTGCTGGGAGTCAGGATGATGCTCTCACAAATGCAGTTGTAATTTTCCTCACTTATCAGCCTGTTGGCTTCAAATTCTTCCCCTCTCACACACAAAGACGGCACTATATCACATTCACGGCTCCTCTTTATAGCCAATATCAAGCATCATCCACCTACATGTCTGCTATTATTACCCCTGAGGGACAATGCAGACATAAAGGGACGCCTGAATGTTATGTCCAGGTGTCACTTTCTGATCCAGTCAAGGTT